ATGTACAGACATGCACACACCACACACACACATACAGACATGCATACACCACACACACATACAGACATACACACATATATACAGACATGCATACACCAGACACACACATACATACATACATACATACATACATACATACACACACACACACATGCAGACATTCACACACACACACACACCAGTTTTGAAGATTGTCTTCCCTCTGGCCTGTCTTCCAAACATTAGGATAGCTCTTTTCTTCAAATGTGTTATGGAGCAATCATTCTCATAACCTGCCCTCAAATGAAAAGATTCCTTAGCCTAAGTTCCTGCAATGATATATATTATCTCGTTTTATTTCGCCCCAAGGAGACCTGATACTAGGCAACGCAGGAGACAGTCTATTTATTTTGCATTCTCTTGGTGAAGCCAATCTTTGTTATTACTCTGAACAGCGAACTGTAACAACTTCATGGGTATTTATACTAGTGCCGTCCAGATCATAGTCAGCCATGGATTTTTTAAAATGCTAATATATTTTACTGAGAAAAAATAAAACAATACTTTGAAGGAAGGGACTTCCCTGAGGATAAGAAAATGTTAATCTTATTTCCCACTACATTTCCCATCTTGTATGGAGCTGTTAAATTTTGTGAATAGAGGTAAATTCTCATTAATTTCTTCAATGGTCCCAAGGAAAAGTTTCATCTCCTTTGCAGATACTTTAGTTTTTCTCATGCCTTTCGACAGCCTGTGTAGTACTGTGGCAGGAAGTATAGTTACAGTGTCTTTGCCGGTGAACACAAATCTACCAGTTCTGTGTTTATAATTTGACCAGAAATTATTTTAATTATTGGAACAGTAAGAATAAAATGAAACCGTTCCTGGAAAGTTTTTTGTATCCTGATTGGAAAAATTACATTCTTTCCTAATGATTTTAGTTGCGTCTTAACATTTCCTTGTTTAAGAATGGAAGCAAAGAACAGCAGAAGTTCCCTTAGCCACAGCTCAGCTTCTTTCCCTGAGAGCGGCAGTTGCAGTTCGGGTTGAATTTGGTCTGTGTTTTCTAATTCACCGAATCGACCAGTCAGACCTTTGCATGTGTGATGTTATCCTGAGTTGGGAATCCCAAGCCTCAGAACGTCTCTAGTTTGTTCATCTAACTCTCCGATAGGATCGTCCCAATCCAAGATCATGTTGGGTAAGCGTGTCAGCAGCACTGTGCCCACAAAGAAATACGGTGACTGTCTTTGTTTAAACTGAAGTCTGTGAGCACTCACTGGCATGGAATTTCAAATGACACAGCAGCATAAGTACAACTTTGAGTCATTTCTCTTTATCCTGGGTAGCACGGGAAATCACCAGGCACATGGTGATTGTATATGTAGTTACAATGTTTGCTACATACATACAAAGATCTACTGTCAGAGTTCAGACATTCCATGTCAGTAAGAGAGACACGCTAGCCTTATGGCATCTCCCAGTAACAAAATAACAACAAAACTGCCAGAAAGAATGGGCTTTAAAGGTTATTTTTTTTTTTTCTACTCAGAACAGCTTAACAATAGTCTGTCAAGACGGGCATGCAAGCCGGCCATGCTAGCTAACACCTATAATGCAGGACATAGGAGGTCGAGGTCAGGGGATTGCCATGAGTTTATGGCTAATTTGGACTTCATACTGAGTTTCAGAGTAGCCTCAGCTATAGAGTGAGGCAGGCATTGCTTAAAAATAAATGAGAACAAGGGAGAAAAGAGAGAGAGACAGAAGAGAGAACACTGAAATGACTCCTAATGACATTCCAGTGTGTGTGTATGTATGTGTGTGTGTGTGTGTGTGTGTCTGTGTGTTGGGGGTGGGGTACATACACACACTCAGATCAGGACCTTGTTCAGCCATCATCGGAGAAGCTTCCTCTGGCAGCAGATGGGAACGCATACAGAGACCCACAGCCAGACATTATGGCAAGAGTGAGAGGCCTTGGAACCTCAGCCCTAAAAGGGACATCTCTATCAAATCCCTCCCTTCGGGGCTCAGGGAACCCTGCAGAAGAGAAGGTCGAAAGAGTGTAAGAGCCAGAGGGGATGGAGGACACCCACAAAACAAGGCCTTCTAGAACAACAAGATGGTAGCTCATAGGCATTCACAGAGACTGAGGTAGCATGCACAGGTCTGCATCAGGTCATACATGTTATGGCTTCCAGTTTAGTGTTTTAGTGGGATTCTTGGGTGTGTAAAAAAGTGGGTATCTGATTTCTGTGCCTTCTCTTTTCCGTCTTTTAGTATTGTCAACTCAGTATGGTTTTGTTTTATCTTACTATGTTTTACTTTATTATTTAAAAAAAACCTTTAATCTCTAGAAATTCTAACACCTAAAAACAAAGTAGTTTAATAGTCAGTATGTTCCTTTTGATCCTGCAAAATGAGATTCTAGAATGACGTCCAGAACATGCAGACCGGCTGTCTTTACTAAACGTTTCTTCAAAATGGATCAAGAATATTTTTCCTTCCTCCAAGCCACCCCCTTTGTCAAGGGAATAAACGGGGCACTTGTGGGCTCTCAGAGCCCCTCAGAGTGGAGTGGGAGAGAGCTTGCGAGCTTTCTGGCTGTGTTCATTTACGGTCTCACACAGGGATATAATGAATTGTGGTCACTTTCAGCCATTACTCTCTCCCAGTCCCCCCTTCCCCCCCAAACACTGAGAAAGCCTCTTTGTTTTTTCCTATCTCTTTTTTGAAGTAACTTTAGAGAGACATTGCTCTCCAGTAAGGCAGCTGTCACTTTTAAGTGTGTCATTTCATGAATATTTGTGTCGTTTCATGAATATTTGTGTCACTTCGTGAATATTTAAAGTATGATGGGACGCTTTTGTCATCTGCCCCTGTAAGTCTGATTTTGAGAAAGGGTTGAAGAATAGTGTACTACGGTAATTTGATAATGTCACAGTTAAAAAGCTGATGCTTAGCCAAACTTCCAGAAGGTCCTAAACCGTGGAGTTTAGTAACTGCAGTCCCCTTGGCAGTAGTAAAGGAAGGTAGGTGTGGATGACGACACCCGCCCCCACCTTGCACCCCCTACCCCCGCTGACCTGGAATCTCCTAAGTATTTTCGGAGTGTTTTGTTTACGCTCTGTTCACACAGCTACAATTTGAAAAGGGGGCGAAACATCCCACATTTTTTAAGGTTCTTGAAAGCCTTATAAAAGGTACTCAGTTGGAATGGGGGTCGAATTAAGAGCAGACAGAATCAAAAAGACAAAAGCCCGGCACTTCTCCAAGGCACTTGTACGGGCAGCTGCCTTCTGGATTCTAGAAGCTCTAGACCCACCCTGTGCCAGGTGATACATGGTCCCACCGTTCTCTGCAGTGTTCCTTTGCTAGGGTCAGTGTGGAGAGAGAACCGAGCCTAAGCTTGAAGCCTGACTCCAGGACCTATGAATGAAGAGTAATCGACTTTCTAAGAGCCTGGGATTCTTCCTCTGTACAGGGGACTCTTCAGTGAGCTAACCCCTCCATGTGCCCTAGCCTAAAGGAAGGCTCCAAGAAGTGAACTGCCCGTCTGCTGTTTATTAGCAACAGTGCACATCTAGAGAACAGAATTCCAGATACCCTCGCAAGATGACAATGATGTCACACGCCAAGAGAAGGCTCTTGTATGTGGATACCTGGGGTGTGAGAAGTCCGGAAAAGGGAGATAGAGCCCAGTTGGTTGTTGTACAGGAAACAGACTGTTTTGTTTGTTTGTTTGTTTCCCATGCCTTCTTATTTCGCTACTAGTGACTCTCAGCCTCCAGATTCCAGTTAATTAGTTTGTCCCGTTGCACATTTCCCCTTTAAAACTACGTCCCTCTCATCGTTGACTCGTGTCCCCGTGCAGATCGAAACACCGTCTGAGCCACAATAGCACTCCAGAGGTGTTTATTGGATGGAAGACTTTCAAATATAAATATATATAGATAGATTGATGGATCGAACCCCTGGCTTCTAATTCTGTTTAGGAGCAGTGGCCTTAATGGACTGTGTAGGTCATCTGTGCTTACCAAACGGTTTTAAAGACATTGGTATAAGTAGATGATTGGCTTAAAAGTAAAATTACCTTAAGAATAGAATGGATAAAAGAAAGTCCTCTATAATTCTTGAATGATATTCCTACTTCCTAGGGTAGCACCTCGACTATTGCTGGTCCCAGCCTTCCTCCATAGCTAAATTGTTTAAAGACATGGGATGCGGCTTCAGTTTCAGCCTCTTAGAGGTCTTGAATGTGTGCACAAACTCATGATGCTATTGAAGTCTCAGCTAGAAAATCGTCTGACATCTAAAATGTAATCACCTGGTCCCACAGCGCCGGAGACTCCACCTATCTCCGTGGAAGGCAGCCAGAGCTACTGTTCTGTGACTGAGTTTCTCCACAGACACCCGTTCTCAGGTGATGGTTCACCCCGTACAGCTGCAAGTCACTCGGGAAAGTAATGGTCTTAGGAAATACACGTATTTGTGCAGGTTTGTGGCTCTTGTGATCTTGAAGAGTATATCAGAAGGATGTTGGTTCTCATTCTGATGGTGAAAATGTAGCAGATGGGTGATCGGGCCAGCTTCATCAGTTCATCTTAGAGCATTGCAATAGTCCACAGTTCATCCCCCCATCCACAGCCTCCGGCCGCCTCCTCGGTTCCTGCTGTCAGCCACTACCCCCTCTTCGGTTTCTGTCATCTACCATTTCATCGCACTGCTAGGCTTTGCTTTTCACTTCTGTGTGGTTGTCATTGGAAGCGCTGCAAAGGGCCCCACCTCGCTGCTGTAGTTGGAGCTTTTCAGGCTTCTCCACCCCCGGGAGCTAGAAGTGGGCTTCTAAGTCCTGTACATACATGTGAATTTGCAGGAGCTAGAAGTGGGTTTCTAAGTCATGTAAATACGTGTGAATTTGTGGGAACTGGAAGTGGGTTTCTAAATCGTGTAAATACATGTGAATTTGCACGTTCTCAAAGCACCAGGTGATTACTTCTAACTTTTACTTTTTTTAGAAAAGAAGAGGCTTATTTGGGACCAATAAATTCTGCCAGGTAAGGGATTCTGGAAGCTGGAGCTGTATGGCAGGGTTTTTTTTTTCTTTTATAAGCTTTCTTATGATTATTTCACAGCAAATCATAATTTTCCCTTTCTGTAGACTTTTTTTGTGTAAACAGAAATAGCATGAGCTAAATTGATATAACTAAGTAACAAGCATTTGGTCATTTAAAACTTACATCTTACACTTATTAAATTGTTGAAATTAACTCATTTTTAACAATTAAATGTCTATGAACTGCCAATTAAATCTTTGAAAATATTGCTTTGGTGTATAATTTTAGTTCTTCTAATAATTTCCCTTAACGTTCTATATATGAAATTATTATATACATATGCATTTTTTCATTTGGTAAATTTAACTTGACATTTTAGGGTTTATGAGAATGTCTTTATTAACCTAGGATCCATTATTCATTCTGGAGATCGCAGAATGAATAAAGAGTTGGCACTGTTGTGTGTCTTCCTGGGGAGGCAGGAAGGATCATCTGTTTGGCCCAGTTGCTGAGGGGTGAACTCTGTCCAAGTCTATAGTACCCGTCCTGCCCAAAAATATTGGGGTTATTTGCAGGGGTGTGCACACCTCAAAGGGAGTAAGAAAGTCTTATGGGCAACATACAGGCATCGATGCCACTGAGGAGTCCTGCCCAGGGCATGCACAACTCATGTCAACTGCACTACGGAGAAGCCCTCTGGGCAGTTTGCAAGCAACGCTTCATCTAAAGCGGTCCCCACAGTCCATTGCTTACCTATGTAACCTCCGGGAGGTATGGGGGGAGAGACCTCATAAAGGACATGAAGGCTCCTGAACCCATAAGTCCCCTGAGCCTCATAGACGCTCCCTCCCTCCAGTGAGGACCTCGGCTACTCTCCTCTGATTCAAGGTGGTGATGACCTCATTCAACCCAACTCCACCACAACCGTTGGTTTACCCAACAGATCTTATAATGACTACAGAGAATGACCATCCATGACAAAAAAAAAGCCAATTATTTAATAGTAATTCTTTTTATCTAACTTTTAGAACATTGCAGGAAGACATAAAACAAAACTTCAGAATATTACATATTCTACTTTTTAAAATATGGAAACTCTTTGTATGATAGTGCAAACCTGAGTCTCACACACATGGTTCAGATATTGAAGGTCAGACGTCTAAACCCAGCACTTGTTTCAAGGGATCACATGACCAAAATAAAAAAGAAAACACAACCCAAAAAGAGTGACATCATCCTAGACCACAGTCTCAGAGGTTCTTGCCGACAGTCTGTGGCTCTGTTTTTTCTGGGCCTGTGATGAGGCCGAAGGAACACTGTGCTGTTGGGATGATGTGGGTGGCTGGCAGAGGCTTCCCGTCTTACTGCACATAGGAAGCAGGGTGGGAGAGAGGGACTGGGGGCCAGGTAGACCCTTCAGCAGCTGGTGCCCAGTAGTCTGACTCCTCCTGGGAGGCCTGACCTCTCCAAGCTCCACCATCTGTCTCCCTAACACCACCCATGAAAGATGGAACACCAAGCCCACGCGAGACATTTTACGTTCAAGCCATAGGAGGAGAAGACTTCTTTGGGTTCCAGTCTGTTATGGCAGGGTTGGTGTGGTGACCTGGGCAGCTGCCATCCTGATGGGCAGAGGGGACAGTAGAGGCTTGTGCTGCAGGGTTTCCTCCTTCTTGTCCTCTAGCTCCTCCCTGGTCCCCCAGCCTACTGGGTAGTACCACTCCCATTAGGATGGGTTGTGCCCCCCCACACACACACATTGTCTCCCAGCCCCTCTGTCTCCACCCCCATCCCTGGCCTAGCTGATCCTTTCTGGAAGTGGCCTCACAGATACACCGAGAGGTGTACGTGTCTCAATCCACACTGGCACTCAGGACCTGCCATCAAAATAAACATTTATGGAAAAGATAAAAGGGATTTAGACAAGATATTTTCTGAAAATCTGTGTAAGGAAATTGATCAGTAGAAAATAGAGTACGTTTTTCTAATGCTCTTTTATTTTTTTACTAGAAAAACCTTCCTTTTCTAGTTTTCGCATGCTTTATACATTAAAGTAAATGACTGATCAACCCCCGTGAATATGGTAGTATATATATAATATACTCTTTCTGTTAGATACATTCCTATAGTTGATGAGCTTATTAGCCAACCCTTCTTTTTTAATTATTTATTTTACATCCCAACCACAGTTCCCCTCCTCTCCTCCCAGTCTCTCCCCTCCACTTCCCCTCTGTACCCCACAATCCACTCACTCCTCCTCAGTTTCTATTCAGAAAAGGGCAGGCCTCCCATGGATATTGCAAAACATGGCATATCAAGTTACGTTGAGACTAGGAACCTCCGCCTGCATTAAAGCTGGGCAAGGCTACCCAATATGAGGAGTAGGCTCTCAGAAGCTAGCCAAAGAGTCAGACAGCCCCTGCTCCCACTGTTAGGAGTTCCACAAGAAGACCAAGCTACACAATAAAGCAGCCTTTTAAATGGGAGACAGCAGAGGTACGTTTTTGATATGGCTAGCTGCATGTCATTCAAATGAAGGCAGCAAGTCAGGAAACAAGGACGCCAGTCAAACTGCTGTCCCAACTGAATGGACTTTGTGAGGAAATCTCTGATCTTACACACTAGTCTGGTGACAGTGTCTTGCAGGGACCTCCTTAATGTGCTTTGGAAAGCAGGTAGTGGGAACTTGTCTGCCTCTATATTTGGAGTGTTCAGCCTTGACTTACACTTAGGGATGGAAAATAGGAAGCAATGTTTTCAGTCTGGTATGGTACAGATGTCAGATTTGAGCACGATACAGTTATATTGGGAATTCTTTGAAAAAGAATTTAGGGGGAACAGTTCTATTCAGGGATTGAGCTGGATCCACCCCTAATTACCTTGGTTTGATAAAAAAAAAATTAAACTAGAATATTTTAGGTTCTAATTTTGTATGTGCTTCTATGCTGTACCATAGGTAAAACCGGGAGAGATGCACTTATTTTAAGCAATGGAAGTTTTTAATTTAAAGATTAATTTTTAATGTATTTTTGAATGAGTGATAGGAAAAATGTATATCCTAGCTATGGTTTAATGAATAAGATTGTTTATGCTTTGATATATGCTTGTTATAAAGATAAAGGAATAGTGCAGAAAACAGTAAAGATGAGTTAAGTGACAATCATGAGCTGGCGTTTGGTAAATGGCCATGCACTTTGGTCCTCGGTATTTCATACATCACCCGATGGGAAGTATGTTACATCGGCTAAGAATAAAATCTTGTGATAACAGGCTCTTCTGTCAACTTCGAAAATTTGGGGATTTTTCTAAATACTGCCAGTTAGGTTAGGCTATCTATTTTATTTTTAGGCCTGATACAAATTGATATGCTGCTATATCCCTAGGAGCCATCACAAAGTATTTAGACAGGCACATCTACAGAGGGAATAAACACCTGAAGTTTGCTTTCCTGACTTTTGGGGATTTTTTTTTTCCTCACTGGTAGTATTTTTTGTTTAACTTAATTCTGTGCTGTCCAATCCTCGTGCGATAAAATTCAAGGACTGTCGAGGTAAGACGGTGGTGACCTTTGCCTAGCATCCACGAGGCTCAGGTTGGGATGTGAGGCCACATCTGCCACTCCAGAACATGCGTGTTCAAACCATCACCCCTGTGTTCATAGTGGCTGTTCCTTTACTGTCTCCTCTCCCAACTCTGAAACTTATACCAAAAGGAGGCTAATTCTTCACATTTTTATCTTTGGAGACTCTCACATATGAGTTCACTGTATTTTCCCAGTTTCTCCCTCTCCCCTAATTTCTCTAGTGTTCTGCACCCCCCCAGACTAGCTCTCTCCTCTTCTGTACTTACCGTTGTGTCTCATGTTCGTCTCGCGACTCTTGTTGCCTGTGACATAAAGAGCAATAACTCTGCCCTCTTTCTCGCTGCGCGTTAAGTTATCCCAAGTGCTAATTTTATACTTTCTTGATTTATAAGCACGATCAGGGATGGGATTTATTTCTCCTCTCTCAAATGTCGTCGACTAATCCCATGTGAGACTTTGAGCCTGGGAGATTTCCTTGGTGGTGGTGTCAGCTGACCCGCCCTTGTTCACGTCACACCTGTTGAGTGATTCATCGCTCATCGCCTGCATCGCTTCGTGAGCCGCCGGTTGTCTGATGTTGATGCTGGGGATTAGTCTCCGGGGTACACGGGAGAATCATCACGGTCTCTTTTTATCTACTCCACATCTGTCTAGAGCTGTTTCTGTAAGGGTGAGGGCTCGACATCATGCGTGTTTCTACGGCCGAATACTTTCATTACTGTACGTTTTCCCTAATGTGTATGTTTTATATGGAAGCCAAAAGGAATCGTGGGCTATAAATCAAAACCTTGGTTGATCAATATTTAAACAAGGACTGCATATTAACCAATCTGATACATGCATCTGAGTGTTCATTTGTAATATACTTTCCAGTACAGTGAATTTCAATCCATAGGACATGAAAGCTAATAAATTATTTTAAAATAAAGATACATACTTTCTGTTCTGTAATAAGAGCCTGGCATTTACAACTTTGCCATAAATCAAAACTTAAGAAGTTAAATATATCTGTAGTGACTGTCACTGAGATCATTCAAGAACCATGCTGAGCATTATCGCTTCCTACAAGGAAAACATTAACAACTTAATTTTAACCCTAACACATGGATCTCTAGTTTTCTGTAGTGTGACTCTTTAAAATGTCCCATGCCTCCTTTCACTGATAGCAGGTCACTAGGGGCGTGGTGATTCTCTTGCGGTCTTTGGTTTATTTTGCTTTTGTTTTTATTCTTAATTCCTGGAGACAGCCTTACTGGTGAGTGAGATTCTTTGATAGCCTCATTGGGAAGCGAAGGGTTAAAGCCTGAAGGAGTAATTCTGCTCCTCTTCTTTGTCCGCAGTGCTGTCTCTGTCTTTCCTTTGAAGATAATTTTGACCCTTTGTTTCTAATCATTTGCTCTTCAGATGGACCCTGTGCAGAAAGCCGTCATTAACCACACGTTTGGAGTCTCCATTCCCCCGAAGAAGAAACAAGTTATTTCTTGTAATGTCTGTCAGCTGCGCTTTAACTCAGACGTGAGTATCACTTTTTTCTCTCTGAAGTGTGTTGATTGTGCCGGTGCTGATTGGCCTGAAGACGTCCATCTCTTCACTTATGCCTGCTCTGTGGCCTCTCAGCACCGGTTCCTCCTGATGACCCACTCGCTCCAGGGTGTCCAGTTTCCAAGTGACTTAGATTCGGTGCTTCAGATCTGAACAGCTGGGCAAGTGATTGGTCATAAAAGTTAGGACATTCTCTTGTTTTATACTGGATCCCATTGATCCTATTTGCTTGTCAAAAATATTTGAAAATTAGAAATTATGAAAAAACTGTGTGAATGCTAAGAAAAGAACTGAGTTTTTGACAAGAACTATCACATTTCATGCATGTGTTCAATCTTATTAGATATCCAAAGACTGGTGTATTATACAAGTTATGTTTCCAATTCTTTTAAATATAGGAAAAAATTTATATAACTAGCCAACATAGACATTCTGCTGAAAAGAAAGGAAAGGGTAAATTCTAAATAGATTTTTAAATGTATAAAAAATAAATAACAGTAGAAATATGGTAATATTCAACTGCCAAACAAAACCAGTTTCCAGGATGGTTAAAGAAAATGTCATACATTTACACAATGGAGTACTACACAGTGGTAAAAAATAATGACATCTTGAAATTTTCATGCAAATGGATGGATATAGAAAAAAAACATATTGAGTGAGGTAACCCAGACTCAGAAAGACAGCTATAATATGTACTCACTCAAATGTGGCTTTTAGACATAAAGCAAAGAAAAAAACTAACCTACAGTTCTCAACCCCAGAGAACCTAGACAACAAAGAAAACCCTAAGAGGACATACATGGATCTAAATAGGAAGGTGAAAAAAGACAAAGATCTCCTGAGTAAACTAGGAATGTGGGGGTCACAGTAGAGGGTTGAAGAGGAGGGAAAGGAAGGGAGCGGAGTAGAGAAAAAGGCATAGCTCAATAAAAAAAAGTGAAAATAAAAATACCAGTTTCCAGTGCAGATGGGATCTGACGACTGTATCTTAGATGTGGGATTTCCCAAGTTTCTGGATTCAAAAAGCCGTTCTGCAAAGAGCATAGCACAGATTTAATGTGTTTTTAGAAATATAAAAATAACAAGGCATCCTTCATGTATACCAAGATGTGACATTTCCATAGTTCTACACAGTAAACACAATGAAATTGCACTCACTGGAAAAGAAGTTGATCATGATCTAAACAATCATATTTAATGTGATTTCAACTAAAAACTGGTGACTTTCGGGTACCTCATAAGATTCCATTCTGAAGAATGTAAATGTCCTGACATAAACAGGGGAGCATAGGATGTCAGTTCATTCGCTGTCTCAGCACTATGGAGATCTCAGCTCTCCGCAGGTTGTAAAGACGGCAGAGTGAATACCCAGACTCCCCAAACCCTATCTTTTTGTTAATAATCACCCATGAAGATGTATACTTCCGGATTTTAGTGCTTACTACAAAACCCACAGTTATCAAGGAACTTTGAAGAATCAGTCCACCTTGGCTCCGCAGTGAAAAGTACTTGCTACTTTTGCAGAGGACTTGGGTTCCGTTCCTCCATAACTCCAGTTTCCGGGGAACCAGCACCCTCTTCTAATCTCCATGGTACAGCACACACTAGTGCACTGGCATCCATGCAGGTGAAACACGCACACACATAAAAATAAATACGTCCTCTTTAAAATCCCATCCATTTGAACTCCTCAAGCCCGACTTGTCGTTCCCAATTACTATCAACACTTTGTACTTTTTATGTAACCTTCCGGAGTTGATTTATGGAACTATATCTTAAATGTGACTGTGTTTTTCTTTCTCTTAGGTATATAGTAGCAAGCTTTTCTCTGCCTTTGTCTGTCGGTTTGTTTGTTCATTTGTTTGGTGTTTATGCACCACACTTGCACTCTGTTCATGTGTATTTGTATACATGTGTATGTGCAGGCACGCACACGTGTGACCAAGAGTGTGAAGGTCAGAAGTTGATGTCAGATGTTTTTCTCAATCTCTACCCCTCGTTTTCTCCCTAAACCCAGAGCTCATCTTTTCAGCTTGACTCTCTGGTCAGTGAGCTCCAGAGAGCCGATACTCTGTCCCCAGCAGATTGCTACCACGCTTGGCTTTTGCATGGATGCTGAGATTCTCATGTTCGCATGGCAGACACTTTACCCATCGATCCATCTCGCCACCTCCTGCCTTGTCTTTCTCACAGCACAGTGTTCTACTGAGAAGCCTTTCTGTCCATGTAGAGTACTCCTCGACCTTCTGGATTTGCAAACATGCTAGTCAAAGATGCTAATGTCCTAAGAACCTAGATCCTCGTAATATGTCACCTTTACATCACAAAGGGGATTAAAGGCATAATCGCCGTCTCTAAAACAGAAAGAATGTCCATCACTGTGACTTGTGCCCATGTGCCTGGTGTATACAAGGCTCCTTAAAAAGGGAAGAGGATGGCAAAAGAAGCAGTCATGAATGATTCATTGATTTCCCATTGACGGCTTTGAAGGTAAAGGAATGTGCCAAAAGCCAAGAAGTATGCGCTGGTCTACAAGTCAGTCTTACCAATACCTTTGGAGAGATACACATTTCATTTCTGGTACCCAACTAGGCAACAATAAATTTGTGTTGCTTTTAACTTATGACCGTTTCCTGTGAAAGCAGTAGTAGCACACTAGTCTCTGTGTGTGTGCCCCGTAGTCTGTTTACTTAGTACCCGTTAGCATTTGTGCATCCGTGTCCCATGGTTTGTTCAGTGCCTTCTAAGTGACCATGTAGGTTGTTTCCCATTTAGGAAAATTGCATATATTTTCATAATCAATACACAATAGAACCAGGACATAAAGCTGGGCATCTTGCCTCTAAATCTGCAGGTGTGTCTACAATACTATTTCCAGTAAGTTGACTTTTGTCTAAGGATTAATTGAACCCCTTCTGGCAAACGGTGGGACATTCCAAAGGGTTAGCTTTTTCCAGCGAGGGCTGTGTGACTGCCTGGGATCCGTCCTTACACAGGAAAACGAGAGCATGTTGCAGCCTTCCACTGTGTTCTCTATTTCACGTACAACACTGCATTCAGAGTCTTTGAGGGCAGAGAGATGCAGATCTCCAAGTGTTTAAGGCCAGCCTGGTCTACATGTGAGTTTCAGGACAAACAAGCTGCATAGACCCTGTCTCAAAAAAAAAAAAAAAAAAAAAAAAGGTCTTGAACATGGATTTAAGTTCTGGTTTCGAACCTGGAAAATAACAGCAACACTGTTGACCTTGTCTTATGATGGGAAAATGGACTGTTCCAGCTCTATGGTTAAAAATAATCCCCATGGTATCACCATCAACAGAACAGAACACAAACATATCTGTCATACAGATAGGGCAGCTAAGACCTCAGAATTGTGCTTCCTGTTATATCATGGGAGCCAGGTATGGTGATGCACCCCTGCAATGTCCGAACACAGGAGAGTCAGCAGTTGACGGCCAGCCTTGTCTACAGAGCAAGCGTGAGGCCTGGACAACATGAGACCTTGTTTGCAAAACCAAAATAGAAAAAAAAAAACCAGAACCAAAGAACGAATCTGTCCCATGGGTGCTTTGAGAGGAGGTGTGAGGTGTGAGAAGTTTCTCTGTAGTTCAGAATGTCTCCCGCTTTTGGTCTGTGCTCACCATCATCCATTTTTTCTAAGTGTAAATAATACAGGTAAGGACAGCTGCAAATGTGTTAACAGATGACCACCAGCTTCCTGTCACTACCCAGTAGCCCTGTGGAGAAGAAAGAAAAAAAAAATGAGATTTCTGAGTCATGCTTAAATTCTGAGCAATAAAACTGTAAAATCTGGATGGCAAATGCAAAAATGTGACATCTATGTGTTCCCAGTGTTTAGCAATGTTCTATAATCTGCATACTCGAGCTCTCTAACTGAGCATTTTTTATTGGGAAGGGAGTTTATTATTTTATAATTACCCTTTTTACATTTTAATGCAAGAATTAAGAAGATGCTCATCCTTATTTCCTTTAATAACATTTCTACATCAGCCCCAGACTGAATTGGCTTCACTCTTCAGTGCAGAAAGTCTGTTTATGAAAGATCTGGAAGGCAAATTTGCACAGTAAACAGACTGTTCTCCACGGCTCCCCGTAACACACATAAAACACACCAGGATAGACCTTGTGCGGTGAAACCCAGAGCGACCTAGTTTAAGTGTTCTGCAGCCTGCTTTGTCCAGCTTTTACCATCTCAATAGAGCACCACTGTTGGAAGGCAAAAAGCTACAGCTTTATTTACACAATGAAGCCTTATGTAAATGAGCAGGCATTAATCACAAACAGTTCCCAAGTGAACCTTTACAAATTGACACCATTAACTTTGCCAGGGGCAGGCCAGGCACTGCCGTCCAGGAATAATACCCTTTCCAGAAGAGTCCTGGACCTTGGCGCAAATACGTTGCAGATGCCAGTTCCTGCTTTCTTCTTCATCATCTTCCTAACCCAGGGTAAACCAAACGAGGTTGTCATGAGCCCTCATGTTCCTTCGTCCGTTGATAAATGAGTGCACAGTGTGGGATGATCATAAATTGATGGGCCTGAGTAGGAATCTGTAGCTCTCTAGAGAAGAGCCACGGCAGGAGAAGGAGCGAGTGTACACTTCGCAAATAATACCTTGAGGCAAACATTCTTCTCCTTTTTGGCAGTGTTGGAAGCTGGGAGATCACAAATAGTTTCTAATTTGCATATTAATTTCAGTTCCCTGGAGACTAGCAGTAGAAGGATCAAGGAAATACAAGTGGAGTTTTACATAAGAGGAGCTGGGCAACGTGGTTTTAAGTGTTTAGAAACACAGATGCTTCATCATCCTCTCACCGCAGTTCACTGTAAACAACCTTCATCTCACCTGCATCCCCACGCATCATCATCCCCACGCATCATCATCCCCACGCATCGTCATCCCCATGCATCATCATCCCCATGCATCATCATCCTCTCACCATAGCTCA